TCTTCCGATTCTGTCTATAAATTTGGCCAACCTTAGCTTGTGGATCACTTGCCACTTGGGGTTGGCTATAGCTAACTGCAAGAAAACAGGCGAACGAGTTTTATTTTTTATTAATTATTTTTATTTTGTGATATCAGAAACAAATTTATTAAAACTGGGATGGTATATATATCCTAAAATGCTGTGCAGGTCACTTGTCTTACTTGTGCTTCATGAATGAGCAACTCCTTGTGCAGCTCGTCTAGCGCAAGAATTCCAGCCGTGTCAATGTTCATTACATCTGCAGCGAAACACAATTAAAAAGTTCAATCTGTGCTCATGAAGAACATTGAAGCAAAACACACAGTTTGTTTTCAATCTTATCCAAGACACTTACTGGACATGTCAAGAATTACTGCTTGAATCCCTCTCTCAGTGCTTTCTTTAATTTCATTTACTTCTTCTGTCACCCACCTTAATATCCTGAAACAAAGAGCAATTCTTAGCTAATTATTTAATCAACCTGCACCAATTCGTTTCAGCCTTCCTGTGTCATGTACAGACTATATATACACACACAACCAAATATACATACATCCACATCTGTACCTTTCTCTTATAAAATTGGCATTCGCAAAGCAAAGCAAGGCAGAGTTGATGCGGACTGCTAAAATGCCGGGAGTTTTAATGGCCATGGGATATTGGTTCATATCACAGTACACATCAGCTCTTGGTAGTCTCCCAAGTGCCTCTATGCCTGGTCTAATGGCATCCAGCAATATCCTTGCAAATGAGATCGTGACCTGCAATCCATCAAATTTGTGGTCGGACACAGTCTACATGCTGATTGAACATTTAGTTTAGTGCCTTAATTATGGGGAAGGGGGTCTGTAATTTATGATAACGTGTTAACACATTACACATCAAACAGATAGCAAATACGTGAAGCCACAATACTTCTTTTAAGGTTCCCCCATGGAATCTCTCAGTGTTCGCTTCAAGAAAAACGACTGCGATCTGTTACCTGACTTGTTATGTAAAATCGAATCAACTTGATGATTTAAGACATTGAAAAAAATTTAGATGCCATAAAGCACTGATAAGTAGCGGGGATAGGTTTAAAACTCTCAATATTCCTACGCTATTCCAAAGTATTCCCAACTACAAGCCACTATTCCACTACCAGTACAGATTTCACGGGCATATATGATATATGGTCTTATATCCTAGCCCATCTAGTAACTCATTTTTTATAGTGCTAGACTGTTCACCAGTCAAGTGAAGATTCTTTTAGCTCCCAACTCCTATCAGATCCATACGACAAAAAGTTGTGGTGGCCCGGAGGGCACGAAGTCGTGAGAAACAGAACATGGCAGCTGACTTGGAAGTCAATAGGTCCAACGATGAGAATACCCCGTCAATTTCACATGCTTGATGAATGATTATTACTCAATTATGAGACGCACCCACCAGTCACGAGATTCTTAAGTTCCTCCAAATTTATCTTTGAATATCTGGATTCGACCGACATGGTTCTAAAGACACATTAATATATGAGTTTTGCATTAAAGATCGATAGATGTTTTTTCATGTTTGGTTGTTGTTCATGGTCTTGCTAATTGATTCTTGATGAAGCTTACGTGTTTGTAAATGAATAGAATGGGAATTAAATAAAACAGAAAACTAATAGCAATTACCGCAGCTAGAAGACCAATCTCCACTGACGCAAACAAGACACCAAAGAAAGCACCAATGCAAGCGATGAAGTCTAGTTTATCAACTTTCCAGATGTAATAAGCTCCCCGTATGTCAATGAGTCCAGGAAGAGCTGACAGAATGATTGAAGCAAGGATCGCAGTGGGAGTGTAGTACAAGAGCCTAGTAAACACCTCTAGTGAGACAAGTACTGTAATAGACATTACTATATTGGACACCAATGTTTGACATCCTGCGCTGAAATTCACAGCAGTTCTTGAGAATGAACCTGCAGAAGTAGGTCGAAATCAGTTAAATATTTTATATGAGTTTACAGGCTAATAGTTGATTGGATACCACTGATTTGGTGTGAATTTAGTGACTAGAATAAGTGGCCAATGGAGCTCACCAGTTGCAACATAGCAAGAAGATAAAGATCCTGCAATGTTCATGAAGCCTAAGGCAAGCATCTCCTTGTTCCCATCAATGTGGTAGCCCTTTATAGAAGCAAAAGACCGGCCAACAGCAATGGCTTCCTGATGCAGATGTTTAACTAACATCATGGAACTTATCTAAAAAATTTTGGATAAAAACTTGACACAAGTTTTGCATACGCACGGTAAGAGCAACAATGGCAGAAATGAGCCCAATTTTGGCTGCTTGCCCCAGTTGTGGGCCACTGAGTTGTAAGTCATGGACTGAACTCCGGTTCAGGCCTCCTTTGATGTGTCTTACAATCTTAACTCCATGCTTGTCAGCTTTTGTCAAAAACACAATTAAAGTGGACAGTATTACTGACACGAGAGGAGCAATAGCTGGGAACCAGAAGAGCTTCTTGTTTCTCCGTCCCTGCACACGCAACAGTTTTCTCAAGACTTATTAGTCAATGAAACAGAAAAAACTTGCTTGAACATGAAAACGCGGGGATGCTAGCATGTGATTACTTACAATAAACCTGGCAATTAGGAGAAAAATTAGGAATGAACAACCGAGGACGAAATTCAATGGGCTCCACTGTCATGAGCAGCGAAAGGTAAAAAAAAGAACACTGTCAAATCGCTGACAATTTAACTGATGTACTATTTCTTTCTGATATATCAACTCAAATGAATTCTGGAGAAGAACAGAGTGGAAAAAAATAAAAATAAAATAAAACCAAGCACGAATCATTTCAGCAAGTCACTAATTATTCGTGATGTCCGTGTGTCGTTTTACGACATTTTTTCTTATTAATTTTCAAGAAAGACTAATTATGAACCCTTGGCATGGAACATGCATCTTCTAGCAGAACTTACTGGATGGTCAATTGATGTAAAAGCCGAGTGAAGAACTGAAACCACATCAGTTTTGGTGGTGAAATGGCTGATTCCAAGCAGCCCTTTCAGTTGCTGAAGACCAATGACAATAGCAGCACCCCCCATAAATCCAACAATGGATGCATGAGAAAGGAAGTCCACAAGAAAACCCAACCTGCAGATAATAAAGGTTGAGCAACTGGTCTGGTCTTTGGAGTAGAAAGCAATGAGAAGTTTAGTGTTCATTTTGAAAGCATTAATTACGTACCTAAACAGTCCAAATATGGCTTGGAAGGTCCCAGCAAACAAGGTAACAGTAAAAACAAAGTTTCTATAGGCAACTGGATCAGCTAAAGGATCTTGTATCTCCCCAATCATGGAGGAGAGCAGCATAGATACCACAGCTACAGGGCCGATGGCTATCTCTCTTGAGCTTCCCATTATAGCATAAATCAGAGGTGGGATAACACTAGTATCTAAGTCAACAAACCCAAAGTATAGTACAACATATTAGTAAGAAGTGATTTCAAGGCATTATAAGAGTCAGAAAAACTCAAAAAAGTGATAGAATTGGGCCCAGAAACTTACACAGGCCATACTGAGGATCAAGTTTTGCTAAATTAGCATATCCAATACTCTACCAGAAACAATTTACATACATGTCAGAGGAGACTGAAAATATAACCTTACCATGGTCATAATATTCTTTTGTGACCAAACAATTAGAAGTCACAATTATACCTGAGGAATGCTAAGGCTCGCAAGAGTTAAACCTGCCAGTAGGTCGTTTTTAAACATGGAAGCTTCGTAATCCCTACCCCATCCCAGGATTGGAAATACCCCTTGCAAGAATTCTATGGCACGGCTTTGTTGTTTTCGCCTCGCAGTTGATGAAGTGTGCTTTTTTCCACGAGGGAAAATAATTTCTCTCACTGAACTACCGAGCTCTTGCAACAGGCCTGGTGGATCAGGAGAATTCAGCACCCACTGTGCCCTCTCAAGCTGACTGGTAGCATCTTCCATGTTAAGCTGCCGCCGCTGCTCTTCCACGCTGAAGGTTTCAATTGGCTGAGAACCTATGGTACTGTTTGAAGTGCTTGAGGGAACTCCCTGAGTATCTCTATATTATCTGTTTGAAGTGTTCTTATATTGTTTGCAATACAGGTCCAAAAATAG